TTGCTCTTCAATACTCTAAAGGAGTCCTGTGCGTCAGATTTACCTCTCTTCACTGCTGCTTCCATGAGCGCTGATTGTGGATCCAAGGGAGACAAAATCTTTGACAACTTCAACCTTTTCTCTATTTATCATGATGTTACTTATTGGACCAGTTGTGAAGATTTTGGTCCTCCTTAACTTTAGTTGCAATCCAAACTGAAGGCTACAATTTTTGATCTTCATCAACAAGTAATTCAATTCCTCTTCGCTTTCAGCAAGCAAGATTGTGTCATCTGCTTATCACAGGTTATTAATAAGCTTTCCTTCAATCCTGATGCAACATTATTCTTCATATAATTCAGCTTCTCTGATAATCTGCTCAGCATACAGATTAAATAAGTATGGGGAGAGGATACAACCCTGACACACATCTTTCCTGATTTAAAACCATGCAGCATTCCCTTGTTCTGTTCATACGACTGCCTCTTGATCCATGTACAAGTTCCTCATTACTACAGTGTTCTGGAATTTTCCCTCAAGGTTATTAACAGTTTATGGTTCATACAATCCAATAACTGCATAGTCAATGAAACACAAGTAAACATCTTTCTGACATTCTCTGCTTTGAACCAAGGTCCACCCGACATCAGTAATGAGAGCCCTTGTCCCATGTCCTCTTCCGAGTCTGCCCTGCACTTCTGGCAGTTCCCTGTCAATTTACTGCTGCAACCGTTGTTGGATGATCTTCAGCAAACATTTACTTGCGTGCGATGTCAATTATTTTGTACTATAGTTTGAGAATTGTTGGGTCATTTTTCTTGGGAATGGGCACAAATATAGATCTCTTCCAGTCCCTTGGTCAAGTAACTGTCTTGCAATTTTCCTGGCATAGAAGAGTAAGTGCTTCCGGGGCTTCTTCAGCTTGTTGAGTCATTTCAGTGGATATTCCATCAATCCCTGGAGCCTTGTTTTTGGCTAATGCATTCAGTGCAGTTTGAACGTCTTCCTTCAGAACCATTGGTTCTAGCTCATATTCTACCTCTGGAAATGGCTGAATGTCAACCAGTTCTTTTTGCTACAGTACTGTGTAGTCTTTCTAACTACTGCTGATGCTTCCTGCATCATTCAGTATTTTGCCCAGAGTTTTTCACTTTAAGTGTTCTTCCCTCTGTTTGCAAATTCTGGGTCTTTGCACCTTTCATTATAATATTTGGCTTTGTCTTCTCAAACTGCCCTTTGAGATTTTATATTCAACTTTTTGACGTCATCCTTTCTTCTATTTGCTTTAGCTACTCTACGATTAACAGCAAGTTTCAGAGTTGCTTCTGACATCCACTTTTATCTTTTCTTTCTTTCCTACTTTTTAATGACCTTTTTATGCTTTCGTCATGAATGATGGTCTTGATATCTTTCAACAGCTCATTGGGTCTTCTGTCATTAGTGTCCAATGAGTCAAATCTGCTCCTCATACGTTCTCTAAATTCAGGTCCATATTTTGATTCAAGTTCTTATTTTGCTTCTTGTGGACTTGTTTTCATTTTCTTGTGCTTTTACCTCAACTTACAAATGAGCAATTGATGGTCTGTTCCACAGTCAGCCTTTGGTCTTGTTTTACTGTTGATATTGAGCTTCTCCATCTTTTTTCCCCACACATCTAGTCAATTTGATTTCTGTATATTTCATGTGGAAAAATTCATGTGTGTAGTCCCCTTTTGTGTTGTTTTAAAAAGCATGTGCTATGAACTGTTGTTGGTTTTGAAAAATTCTATCATACTAGCTCCAGCTTCATTTCTATCACCAAATTCATATATTCTACCTACTCTTCCTTCCTCTGATTCCAACTTTTGTATTTCAATCACCAATAATTATCAATGCATCTTGATCGCATGTTTGATCAATTTCAGACTGAATTCTTTGGCAGAATTAATTTCTTCCTCACTAGCTTTTGTGGTTGGTGCATAAATTTGAACAATTGTTGTATTGATTGGATTCCCTTGAAGGTGAATAGATATCATTCAATCATAGACAGCATTGTACTTCATGATGGATTTAGCAAGATAATTTCTAACAGTGAATGCCTCCTGATTGTGTTATTCTCCTTGTGTTATTCCCAGCATGGTAAATCATATGATTTTTCCGATTCAAAATGTCCAATGCCAGTCCATTTCACCCCACTAATCCCTATGAATTGTATGTGTTCCACTTCATTTTTGACCATTTCCAATTTTCCTAAACTCATACTTTGCACATTCCAAGCCCCTATCATTAGAAGTTTCTTTCAGCTGTTTCTCCTTACCTTGAATCGTGCCCCATCAGCACAAATAAAGATCCCAAGGCTCCACTTCCACAATCTTTGCCTGACTCATGTCCCGATGGTCAGCTCTTCCCTAAGAAATCAGCTCCTCTTCAGTCACGTTTCCAGTGCCCTGAGACCTGAGGGGCCCATCCTCAGGGACTATTCCCAACAAGGTTCTGTTTCCTTTGTTTAGGCTTTCAGTATCTAACAATGCAAAGAAGCTATGCATAAGGTTTTCAGCGGCTTCTTCCTCCAAAGTAGGGAATCAAGTACTTGTCTGTTGTCTGTTCATAGGCTGGAAGCGCAGCTGAAACCTGCTCATTCTGGGTGACTCTGCTGGTGCTTGGCATGCCAGTGACAGAGCTCCAGCATCACAGGAACACACAAGTCACCAAAGTATGACAAAGGGACAGAAGCCCCGAATACACTACGGAACATAATGAAAAATCCACACGACTGAACAGAAAATGGAGTGGGATTTTGGTATTCAACCTATCAATCAGGTCAAAGCCTGACGGTGCCTCCTTGTGGGTGTGGCCTTCTCATAAGGAGGGCTCTAGGAACCTTCTCTGCTCCCCTTCGCCCCCCAGCCTCACTGCCTCACCTTCCTGTTGGTTGGCCCTGGCTGCTGCCAGAACCCTGGAGATGTGTCCACTACCATTGGATCTACATGACTTTGTATCCACTGGCCTGTGATCTTCCTGTATTCTACATCTTTGCATATGGTTGTGTGAGTAGGTAGAGGGACTTATAAACTAGTATTGGACTTAGGGACTTGAGTTGGATTGGGCTAGGATCTTTCTTGATATGTATTATTACTGTGGATATAAAGCTCTTTCTTACACATATATGAGTGTCTCTGGATTTGTTTCTCTAGTCAATCTGGCCTAACACACCTGCTGAAAATACAACAATTATGTACATCATAAGAGCAACTGCTGTAGCCACAGTCCCAGGAACTCTTGAATTCTGGGGTTATAGTGAATGATGAAGTTATCAAAGTTGTTAATGATATGAAAGTAAGAAAATTATCTACACAAGAGGAGATCAGAAAAAAAAGCAGTCCTCTTCTGTTCAAGTGATGAAAAAAGACAAATAATTGTAGGGGAAGGAAAGTAGATCTTGGTGGGTGACATTGGTGATACTTAAAAGAACTCTACACATCTTTTGTGAAGTTGCTTCCTCTAAAGCAGGGGTCCTCAAACTTTGTAAATAGGGGGCCAGTTCACTGTCCCTGAAACCTGCTGGAGGGCCGGACTATAGTTTTTTTAAAAAAAAACTATGAACAAATTCCTATGCACACTGCATATATATCTTATTTTGAAATAAAAAACAAAATGGGGCAAAAACACCCGGCGGCCCGGATAAATGTCCTCAGTGGGCGGCATGTGGCCCGCGGGCCGTGGTTTGAGGACCCCTGCTCTAAATGATTGTTGATAACCCTTATACAATGCTACATATGGAATGCAAGGATATATCTTGAGTCAATTTCTTTCGAGATGGTAGAAGATGTATGCCAAGACACATGAAGATCCCAAGGAACCAGTATCTTAAAAATCATTTCCAACAAAATAAGTAAGCTTTTAAGTCATTTTCAACAAAATAAGGCCCAACTAAAACAAAACAATATCTATCTTTACAACTTGCCTATTCATTTTAGATCAAATACTTTCATGGTTGTTTTGATGGTTTCCAATGACTTTATGTTAAATTTCATTGCTTTGCAATTAGCTTTGTAATTAATTCAAGGTGAGATGTCACAAATAATAATACCTCAGGGTATAATTTAACTAGAGAAAAAAATCAGAGCAGATTTCTCCCCTTCTCAATTCTAGACACTATTATTAAAATTCTAATGTAGCCCAAAGTTCAGTAGCTGTGGGTAACACTATGCTAAGTCAGTACAGGCACTCCTCAAGGTTATGCATGAAATTCATTGCAAAATGTGTCTTAAAGTCAAATTTGTAGGCATATCAAAACAGGTGCATATGATTATTATTCCGCCTTACTTTAGTGCAAAATAAGAGCCCTGGTGGAATGGGGTGTTGACGTTGGGCTGAAAACTAGAATCGACTTGCTGGCAAGGAACTGAGGTTTGGTTTTGTTCTTTCTTTTAGTTATTGAGTAGAAACAAATGCAATCATATTCTATATATCTACTAATTCTTACACACATATTTGCCAATACTCATAAAAATACATTTCTAGATATTCTTTAAAGTCCCTCACAAAGGAACATTCTCTGAGAAATATCAAGAAAATGTATTGGTTAAGACTAATGGATCAATCAAACACTGGTCTCCACACCTGAGATCAAATAACTAAATGGTGCAAAGGAACACATTAGAAGGTCCTCAACAGAGCGTGAAAACAAGAGAAGGAATGGAGAAAGCAGGCTTACTAGCCAGACACAGGCTAGTAGCATACCCAAGACTGCAGGCTTTACTTTCCCCTCAGGGTCTGGAACCGAACTCACCCCGGTGTTATAATAATCAGCCATTTAAGATCAAAAGTGCAGCATCTACCCAAGGACAGAGGGTTGGAAAAGAGGAATGGAAACAGGAAATGGAAAGTGGGATAATTAAGGGTACACTGAAGAGATTGAAACGGATGAGTTGAAACAAAATGCATATAAACTTTGTTTTATTTATATTTTTATGAGTTCTGAACAGCTTCACCTAAACCCTAATTTAAAAAATTTAAAAGCGAGATTGGATGTAACTTACCGACACAATCACAACACTCATCCCAAAGTGTACCCAGACAAAGCATGCACTCTTTACAACAGGAACAATTTCCTTCTCCAGGCCGGCACTGGCAGAGTTCCTAGAAACCAAATAGATGTTTAAGGTTAAAATTATAAATACTATATTTTAACTTGTTACTCTTTCAAGCACAAAACCCCCACAATATTTGCATTTACATTCAATAGCATTAACTACTTATAAAAACATAAATATTTACAATGCCAAGTAAATATTTTCTTTCAGAAAAGTCAGTAAAAACATTTTAGATGTTTGTTACATACTTTGAAACAAATGAAACATTTGACTCCCCACCCCCAAACAAATAATTCTGTGCAAGTCAAACCCTAAAGTTTGGGAACCATTGCTTCAATTAATTTGAACAACGAGCTGGGAGAGCAGTGGCAGTATCCAAGAGTGGCTTGAGCAGCTTTAGCCTTTTTTTCAATCCCCTCCTTTCCTTTAGAAGATATAGACAAGTATAGCTTCCCAATATAAAATATTAATAAAATGTACCTTTCAAAAATTTCTATTTTTGTTGATCTGTAACATATCTTAAAAAGACCCTTGAATGACCCACAGTATCCCAAAACAGTGAACCTCTGTGGATAACTGTACAGGGCAGCCTGGCGCAGGAATAAATCATGAATAGACCAATTCTTCACACAAGCCCAGGGAGTGCCAGTCCACCATGGTTAAAACTAACCCACCTTTCCCTGAGGTATAGCTCATTCGAAGGATTCTTTTCTCCTTTTAAACATCTGGGGTGGCAGCTAATACACACCTGGTTCATTAACAAAGTAAAGACCTCATTCCCCCACCCCCACTTGGTCACCCCCACCATCAGGAAAGAGTGACATATATTCTCTGTCTCTATGTGGATCTGGCTCCTGAAGGCATGATGGTCCGAGAGGTGAGCACTTGCATGCTTTATCTGGTCTGATGTCTCTTTAATTTTACCCCTCAATTACACAACTGCACCTTGGACATGTTCAATTGTAGAGGATGGTACCCCACACTCTCCCATGTTTACAGAACAGTTCACAATAGCAAAAAACTGGAAGCAGTCCAAATGCCCAACAGTGGAAGAACTGATAAAGAAAATAAGATACATACATACAACGGAATACTATGCATCCCTAAAAAACAGGGCTGAAAGCATAAAACGCCACATGACAGAGAAGTACCTGGTAACCATTATGCTGAGTAAAGTTCCCAAAACTCACAGCCATCAAGTCAATTCTGATTCATAGGGACACCCTGTGGGTTTCTGAGACTGTAGCTGTTTACTGGAATAGAAGCCCAGTCTTTCTCCTTCGGGGCTGCTGGTGATTTTGAATTGCTGACCACGTGGGTCACAGCCCAATGTGTGAAGGTAGTCAATCACAAAAGGACAAATATTGCATGAGTCTGCTACTACAAGGAGAAATATAGCAATTAAACTTTGAAGCCAATTCCCAAAGGGGTAGAAAGTCTGCCAATCGGCCATGAACCATATATCACGCCCCCTTATATGCACTTCATAAGAACCACCTCAAAAGAGAAGCCTTCACATCGGCGCTAGGATCACTCCTTCAAGAGTGGGAAAAGGGAGGAGGCCATCTACTTGATACCAGGCAACACTGAAACAAGTCTGCAACAAATCAACAGGCACGACAGGAATGAAAGGACAACCTTCCTGGAAAATCACATGAAGACAGGGGAGGAGCGCATATACATTTCAGAAGAGGCACTGATATTCTCGTAGTGGGTATGGTGGGTTAATGGGGAGGACCAATCTCACATTTGGAAGGAATGCTGAACAATAATTGTATGGAAACTAAGGAGAATGAACCTGATATGTCTCAACCCAACCTTTGGTGAACCATGGCATGGAATAAGCCCTATGATGACCTTAGATGCTGACCTTACAGGGAACATGGCATCCCCCAAGGGCCACACCAGAAGGACTCAACATAGAAGCCAGGCTGAACAAAAGGGGCTCTATCTCAAAACTACCTGAACTCTTGGTCTTAGAACTGAAATACCTAGAGAAGAGAGGAAACAAATGGTGGTCATCCCAAGACTGTGGAAATGGTGGTCTCTGGACCTTTGTTGGGACCCCTGAATTAGTGAGTGTCTGATGAAAGGGGACCTGGAACCACCATATATTAAATACCTCAATTCTTCCCTTGCATCATTGACAAGTATTAATCTGTTAGGCAAGGATCGGCCCTTGTAAGAAATGGTACAGGAAATTTTCCCAGAGCACCAACTCACATGATCAATGTAAACCAAGTTCAATCAATTAAGATATTAATCCATACAAAGCAACAACTCTTGGATTGTAGCTTGTAGTTGGATAATACTCCAATAAACTTCATATCAACAGTAGCCTAAATTCTATGCCAATGGATAAATTATTCATGTTATCAATGCAACTGCCTTATACCCCAGGGAGATGATTGACATGTTTTTCTTTTTCGTTTCTTTGTTTTTATTGTTATTGTTGTTGGTTTTGTTTTTTGTCACAATATGATTACCAAATTAAATCAGAGTCATTCATACCTGTGGACAAGCAGATGGATTGTGAAAACCCCTTAACTTTAGCCTCAATCCAAGAACAATTATTTCTTGTTACATACCCCTGCTCAATACTTGCCTTCTCCCTGTAGGCAACCGATCTTCAACCAAAGCCCAAAAAACATCTTGAAAGAGATAGTATCTTAAACAAATGGTGCTGGAAAAATTGGATCTCCATCTGCAGAACAGGGCCCATACTTCACCCCACGTATAAAAACAAATTCAAGATGGACTAAAAACCTAAATGTAAATCCTCAAAATATAAAAATCATTAATGAGAAATTAGGGGGGAAAATTAAGGTTCCTACTTCAGAGCATAAGCATGCTATCAAATATAATAAAGGAAGCACACACAGACCACAAAATTTGACGGGGACCGACTAAATATAAGACAGCAAAAACAGAACTCACAATCTGGGGGAAAATCTTTAGCAATGAAACAACAGACAAGGAACTAATCCCTAAAAGACAGACAACTGCAATATCTCAATAAGAAAAAAAATTATAATACTATTAAAGTAGGTAAAAGACATGAACAGACAGTTCACTAAAAATGACTTTAAAAAAAAGGCTTCCAATGGCTAACAAACACAAAAATGCTCATTATTATTAGTTATCCAGGAGATATAAATTGAAATGATGAAAATGAGGAGCTGATACCAAGGGCTCAAGCAGAAAGCAAATGTTTTGAGAATGATGATGGCAACAAATGTACAAATGTGCTTGACACAATGGATGCATGTATGGATTGTGATAAGAGTTGTACGAGTCCCAAATAAAAGGGTTTTTAAAAAAATTGAAATGATGTGACATGTCACACAGACAATGAGAACCCAATTTAAAAAAACAAAAAAATTTTTTGCAGGGGGAGAAGGTGGGGAGATTTGGGAACTCTCATACAGTGCTGATGAGTCTTTAAATATATTCAAGCACCGTGGAAAACAATATGGTGCTATATCAAACAGGGAATAACATCTCCATACAATCCAGCAATATCTCAACTGGGTATCTAACTTAAAACAGAGCCATAACACAAACAGATATATGCACTCCCACATTCACACATCACTGTTCACAATAGCCAGAAGTTGGAAACAGCCCAAATGCCCAATAGTAGAGAAATGGATAAAGTAAATACACACAATAGATTACTATGCATGAACAGGCATTGGGTCTCTCTCTACTCAAGTACTCCCTCAATGCAAGAACACTTTGCTCTAATAACTTGGCATTCTATCATGCTCATCTTCCCCACACAATCGCTAAAGTGAAAATGGGTGCATAAGCAAATGTGGTAAACTAAGCTGATGGCACCAGGCTATTAAAAGATATATCGTTTTGGTCCTAAAGGCTTGAAACTAAATAAGCGGCCATCTATCAGGGAAGCAACAAAGCCCACATGGAAGAAACCCACCAGCCTGTGTGATTACGGGTCGTAGAGAGGATAAGGTATTAGGTATCAGAAGATCCAAAACAAATTAATATATAGATGCAAATGAAGGGGGTTGGAGTGGACACCCAAAACCCATCTGTAGATAATTGGACATTCCCTCACAGAAGGGTCACAAGGAGGAAGAGACGAGTCAGCCACGGTGCAACACAGCACCAATGGAACACACAACACTCCTCTATTTCTTTAATACTCCTTCCATCCCCCCACTATCATGACCTCAGTTCTACCTTACAAATCTGGCTAGACCAGAGCATGTACACTGGTAGAGATAAAAACTCTTGACACCTGGAATCCAGGACAGATAGACCCCCTCGGGAACAGCAATGGGAGTAGTGATGCCATGAGGGTAGGGGGAAAGTGAGGGGAGAAAGGGGAGAAACGGGAAACTGACTACAATGATGTATAACCGCCCCCTGCCCAGGGGTCAAACAACAATAATGTGAATGAACGGAGACAGAGGGCAGTGTATGATATGAAAATAATAATTTATCAGAGGTCCATGAGGGTGGGAAGCTGAGGCAGGGAGGGAAAAAAGAGGAGCTGATACCAAGAACTCAGAAAGAAAATATTTTGAAAATGATGAAGGCAACATATGTACAAGCATGCTTGATACAATTAATGCATGGATTGTTATAAGAACTGGGTTCGCGCTCTCCCCTAAAAAAAAAAAAAAAAGAACTGTGAGGGTCCCCAATAAAAATTATTATTTATTAAAAAAAAGATTCAATTAAGTAAAAAAAAGAGTACTATGTATCACTACAATATAATGATGAAACCATAAAACACCTAAATGACATGGATGACCTCGAGAACATCATGCTGAGTGAAGTTAGTCAATCACAGTACGACACAAATATTGTATGAAACTACTACTATAAGGGCAAAAACCAAGACAAGCACTTGCATACCAAAGGGAATAGACTCCGGAGGTCTCAAGCAGGAAAGGGGAAGGGTGAGAAGATGAAGCAGTGGACTGAAAGGTTGACAGTAATTGACTTGGGTGAAAGGTGGGACGTTCGTATATACTCGAGTATAAGCCAACCCGAATATCAGCCGAGGCACCTAAT